GCTTAGTGCTAACCATTTTTATTAATAGATTTGATAATTAAAAAAAAAAATTTTTTTTTCCAGTGATCATCCCAACCTGTAACCTAGCAGGCTGACAGGCTGACAAACCTCCCTTGGGGGGGGGGGGAACTTTCCCTTTCTCCCTTTGAGAGCCTTTCAGCTTCACAATCAGCTTGAAAATTGGATTCCCAGAAGCAAGAGAAATCTCCTACCAAGGGCCATTCCTCTGCATCAGAGGCTCCATTCTTCTAACCAGAGCCTGGAGGCCTTAGAGGCAGGGGTAAGCTTGCCAATTGACTGGGGGGCTCCGCAAGCGATGACGAGGCTCGTCAGGCCTGGAGGGAGCCTTTTCTAGGTCCCTCGGCCTCAGCAGACCACCCCAGCAGCAGGAGAAAGTTTTTGGCACTGTTCCAATTTTCGGAGCCTGGAGGCCTTACTAGGCCTCGGCCTGCCTCAGCCTCTCTCAGCTCACCTAATTGTAATCCATTCGCTGCGTTAGGAGCCCAAGCGATTCCTTGGAATGAGGGCTCATCGCAGCTTAGGCCTCAGGCCTCTAGGCCTTCTTCTTCTAACGGCCTTTTTTTTGGGGAATCCATTCGCTGCGTTAGGAGCCCAAGCGATTCCTCGGAACGAGGGCTCATCGCAGCTTAGGCCTCAGGCCTCAAGGCCTTCTTCTAACGGCCGTTTTTTTGGCGCAAACTCTGCGGCCGCCATTTTGAATTGACTCTGGCGGCCATTTTGTGTGTGGTTGAGGACCAGACTGCCTGGAGCTCACTCCTGAAGGCAATGTACGATCACCGGTGGCAGAGGCCTCGAGATTACCAGCATCATCTCCACAGCGGTTTGGACTGGGGAGGGCCAGCTCGCTCCCAAGGGACGCAGTGCCCACCAATTTCCTGCCCACCCCCCTCATGGGCCAAATCATCTCTGTAGGCTCCCTTGGTGAGTTACAGTGCCGAGGGGGGGCGTTTTGCCAAGGTTGAGCCCAGAGCAGACTCATCATGGCAGAGAAAACCAGCGAGCCGGCCAAGAGGAAACGTCAAACAGAGGCAAGTGGAAAGAACACCACCAAGCGAGCCCGGCCAAGCAGGGAGCCACAGAGAGAGGAGGAGTCCCAAAGACTGAGAGCGGCCTCCCCAGATCTGACAGGCACGATGGGAAGGTCTATTTTTGAACCCCTTTCCTCACATTGTGCCTCAGCCCCAGGGGCCTGGTCTCCCCCCAGGGGAATTTCCCAACTAGAATCAGCCACAAGGGCGGGCCCAGGGACAGGCTTGACTAGCCAGGACACCTTTAATGTGGGCCCCCAGACCACATTCACCCCCACTGCAGCAGGGCTTCACCCCCCTGAGAACCAGACTCTAATCCCGGACTACCTTCAGTCCATGATAGCTCAGGCTGTGGCTCAATTCATGGCTTCCCACGCCCAACAGCCACCCCTACAATCCATGTATCATTCCAATCTCCAAATATCATGGATGAACCTTCATCAGATCTAGAATCAACAGGGGCTGAACCATCGGGCCTGATTATGTCAGAGATGAAAGTATCACTTCATCTGACCCCACCCCTCCTGTCGGTCTCTTTGACCATTCACTTTTATTTCCCTGCTAATCAAGGCCTGCACAACTGCAAACCTCCCTCAAGAGCAGGAGGCCCACCTACAACATCCAAGGGTCCCCATGTTATATATACGAGCCCTCAGTCTCTCAGAACCATATCCCCTGCCCTCTCAAGCCCTGGTGCCATAGAGAAGACATTATTCAATGTTGCCCCTTCTCTGACCTCCCTATTGGAGGTCCCTGAGATTGATGAGCCATTGAACTCATTGTTTCCCAATGCTAACATTCCTGGGGATATAAATGAGGCACTTAGAGCGGAGGATAAAAAGATTGACTCCGCATTGCGTAGTTCCCATCTGGCATCAGCCTGGGCAACAAAGGCGGCAACATCCATGGCCTTCTTCGCCAGGGCTTCAGCCCTTGGGTTACGTGAGCTCCAGGACAGGATCCCTCCGGACCAGCTCAGAGCTCACCAAAAATCTGGGTAAGTTAGTGGCCACGTCTCAATACCTAGCTGATGCTTCCCTGCACACGGCCAGATACACGGCCCGGACCATCGCGGCAGACATCTCTGCACGAAGGCTCTTTTGGCTCAGAAATTGGCGAGCAGACACCAAGACCAAGTGGCGTCTGGCCTCTAAACCTTACACAGGTGGACATCTCTTTGGTAAGGCACTAGAACCATACTTAACTGAAGGTAAGGACAAACGTAAAACTCTGGTTAACTCATGTCACAGAGCAGTTACAGGAGGCTGCCTTTCGACCAGCTCCATCCTGGGACTGGGCCCAGGCGGATCGTTTAGCATGCAGAAGCAGACCACAGATCCAGGCCAAGTGGCCCCTTCGAGGCCTGGGGGGGCCATTCCTCTAAACGAGGCAAGTGATCTCACAGTCTCACTTCCCATAGGAAGCCGGCTGGCCCCTTATTCCAGCACTTGGGCAGTCGCCACTACATATGCCGGCTGGCCCCTTATTCCAGCACTTGGACAGCCATCACTACAGATGCATGGGTGTTAGACACTGTCACGCAAGGTCTGAGACTAGAATTTTGTTCTCAACCACCTGACAAATTCCGCTATTGCCCTATCCCAACGAGCAGGTCCAGGGCTGACTTTATGTCAGAGGCCATAGCTCATTTATTACAAATACGAGCAATTGAACCAGTACACAAGACCAAGAAGGATGAGGGTTTTACTCAAACCTCTTCATCATCCCTAAGATTTGGGGGGCTGGATGGCAATCTTAGACTTGAAAGGTCTAAACCTTACTTGAGGTATAAGAAGTTTAAGATGCAACCACTTCAATCAATCCTGGCCAGCATCAGGCAAGGTGACTTTCTTACCTCAATAGACCTAACTGAGACATTTTCCTAACCACCGCAAATTCCTCAGATTCAGCTATGCCCAACGCCACTACCAGTACAGAGCCCTACCATTTGGCCTCTCATCGACACCGAGGGTATTTACAAGGTACTGGCAGTGCTCGCAGCCCACCTTAGACAAATTCCAATCAGAATTCAATGCTATTTAGATGACATACTAATTCAGTCATCATCATTCTGAAACGCTCAGTCAGACCTCGCCCTAGCCATCAAGGTCTTTCAGGAGCACGGGTTTTCTGTTAATTTCCAGAAAAGTCATACAACAACCCGGCTCCTCCATTTGGGCGCTGTTATAGACATGGACAATTGTACGGTCTACCTATCTCAGGACCGAAGGAACTCTATTCAGACTCTTGTACGTCGGATCCGAAGGGACAGAGTAGTCACATTGACCTCCCTATCACAGCTACTGGGGAAGACGGTGTCCTGCATGCAAATTGTGCCATGGGCACGCCTCCATGCCAGAGAATTACATGGCTTCTCCTTCCATTTCAGAGACTTCACACCAGCACATCCCACCAGAAGGTCCGAGTTCCACGTCGGTGTTGAACTCCCTTCAATGGTGGGACTCCCCGGCGCTGTAACGGGGAGCAGTATTAGAACCAGACAGGATTACCATTACCACAGATGCAAGCCTGTTTGGGTGGGGGCCACACCTCCACACGCACTGGGCTAAAGGTCGGTGGTCCAAACAGGACCTAAAGAACAATATAAACTGGCTGGAATTCAGAGCCATACATATGGCCCTAAAGAGATTCACCGATATAGTACAGGGCCAACATGTCCTGATTTTAACCAACAACATTACAGCCAAGGCCCACGTCAACAGACAAGGGGGGACAAGGTCCAGGCCTCTCATGCAGGAGGCCAAATTGCTGGGGTCCTGGGCGGAACTGAATCTTGCCTCCATCAGGGCGGAGCACATATCCGGAGTGACCAACCAGCAGGCGGACTCACTGAGCAGAGCAACCGTGGATCATTCCAAATGGCAGCTGGATCCGAAGGTGTTCAGAGAGATCGTGGACAGGTTTGGTTCCGCAACTTTAGACCTTTTTGCCTCCCCAATCAACTCACAACTTCCCAGGTTCCTTTCCAGGTTCCCATCTCCATCAGCGGAGGGAACAGATGCACTCCGCAGTCCCTGGCCCATATATTTAATTATCATGACTACTAGCACCAGACTGCATAGAAATGATATTTTACCATAATTATTGATAGTAAGTTGTTTTATATTAAGAGGTTAAAAAAAATAAAAACACACTTTCGAATCGGTATTCCATGTGTCCATATTCAAGTCCATCATGAGCAAATGACTGATATTGCACTATGTTTTCAGCTGTGCCACAGACATACTTACTTTTGAAAAATCTTACTTTTGAGCAACATGATTTTTGCCAAGTGATTTTACTGGCAAAGTGGTTGTTCCAACAGACTTCTTAAAACAATCTTTTGTAATCTATTTCCAATTAAAAAGGCATGAGCTACCTTTTCACCTGTTTGCTGTTGTTATTTTTTAACTTAAGGTATACAGTTCATTCTAAATGTCTGTTACAATCGCTAACTATTTCATTCTACAGTTCTCCAGAGGCAAAGAGGGAGGTAGAAAAGAAGGGGGGGAGAGAAAGAGAGAGAAAGAGAAATAATATTAATTCCTCCATTTACTTGTCTAACTGTTTTTGAAGGAATGAATGTGAATTAACAATGTTATCCTTTCCTAACAATTATCTTTCGCTACTCTAGCTAGTTTAGTTCTAAAAGACAGAGCCATTGACAAGGGAGAAAAAAAGAACCTTCTCGGATTTTTTCAGCTCAGCGGTGGTAATGTTGCACTGAACACTAATGAGGGAACCCCCACTGGTTTGCCTGCTTTGTGACTTTTCTATTTCATAATTATTTTTAAAACGCAAAACGACATGAGGTAGCCCAGTCATGCCTCTGCTACTTCCTGCTACCTCGGTGTTCACTACAGATGGCAATTTGTTCTTGTAACATATATGTCTCTCTGACCATTTTCATCTAATTTGTATGGGTTCTACCATTTCCTTTCTCTCTTTCAGGGGCCTTGCTGTGTGTGAGCTGGGGGGTGGCATGACATGCTTGGCTGGGCTTATGGTAGGTCTTTTCTCAATCCCATTTCTATTCAGAGGGGGGAACAAAAGAGAAAAATGTTCCAGTGCCTCCAACGACTGGGTCAGAGAACTGTCAACAGAATCAGCTGCAGTCAAGCTGCAGAATCTTCAGAGACCTTCTAGACTGACTGGCTTTCGTATTATATCGATTTTATGGTTGCCTCGATGAGGAGAAACATTTTACCTCAGTGTAGTCAATATCTCTTGTTGTGACATTCCAGGCCACATACACACCGTCTTTCAGAGCCATAGCTAGCGCTCCACCGCCCCCCCCTTTCAGATTACACTTCACCATTTGCTAAGATACAGGAATAGCCTGGCGAATCACAGTTGGAGCACCATGATATAGCTGCTAATGTTTTGCCTGCATTATTACACCAACAAACATGATCCAGAGCTCTCGGTAATTAGATTCTTTTGAATTAGATTGGCCATTCAGAAGCGTCATTCACCATTCTCTAGGTTCTGAGTCATGTATTCAGGAGATATTATGTAGCAGTGCAGTGCATTAGACAAGTTTTTATGTCTCTACAAATAAAAGCATATTGTTACACTGATTGGCATTTGACAAACCTGTCGTTCTTACACAATGTGTCGAGGTTACAGCCCAATGTGCGAGCATGTCAAAGCTCACAAAAAAATTACCCTTACAAAGCCATCTGCCTGCAATGCAAAGTTATATGAAGGGCATCAGGCAGTCAGACAGAAGCAAGCTGAAAGGCAGAGTGACAGCCTCGGATGATGGCTCTACTAGATAAACAGAAGCCCGCAAATGAAAGCCTCTCAGAATACCATCATCCGCTGTCACAATGCAATTACGGAACTGAATGATAGCAAGATAGAGGCTCCCGCAAATGGAATGATAAAAGTATTGACTGATTTGATTGAATGATTAAAATAATGCAGACATAAAATGAAAAAAGATTGAAGACTGTTACAGGGAAATAGGTGAGGAAGCATGATACTGAAGGCTTGTCACTCCTGTCTTCACTTCCACACAGACAAGCATATTTGCTCATTGTTTGCTGTGCTCTTTCTCTCTCTCCCTCTCCCCTCCCCCCTTCCCTTTCCAGGTTGCTATTTCTGCAGATGTCAAAGAAGTTCTGTTAACTGATGGAAATGAAAAGGCTATCAAAAGTATCCTTATTCAGTTAGAAAACTGGTGTGTTGGATTCGTTCCATTTTGTTGGGTTCATGCTCAGTATAAAAATAGAACAAGGAGTTATATAACAATATGCATTATTTATATTGTGTGTGTGCATTTGTGTGGATGTGTGGATATACATATGTATAAATTCATATTATATAAAATACACACTCACATCCTGAATAATTATTTATTTGAAATAATTATATGTGATTTTTGAGTGGTGGTGAAGTTAATTATATAATTATATAGTGTTTCTAAACAATGTATTCACTTTTTCCATTTTATTTTGATTTCAATTTAGAGCGAAATGACAAATCTTAATAAATATTAAGATCAGTATTTGTCAATTTTCAGTGATTTCATTCCAACAACATTGAAAATAAAATATTAATTACAGCGGATATTGCAGTTTTTAAAATTCAACCTGCTATAAAAAAATTCTATTTCTTTTATTTGGCTATTTCACTCTGAGTTTGCTTTCAGATATTATAGTATGTAAATATGTCTCTTTTGCATATTTATCTTATTTTTACAGTTGGGTTGTATTTAATCATGTATACATAGTATCACTCCTTGCAACCTGTCCCTAACTTCATGCAAGATGGATTTGCATTCAGTTAATGACCATTGTCCAATATTTCTCTTGGACCAAGATTTTCAAATATTCCTATCCATTCCATACATTTATATTATTTTCAAATATAAATTCATTTTATATTTAATCCTATTAGTATATATGCAGGTAAACAATTTACACTTTAATGTGACTGCAAATTATTCCCCCTGAGTTAACTAAGTGTCTACAATAGCGCAAGAGCTGAATCCCATAGTGAATATTAATGGCTGACAGAAATTGAGAAGGAACTGCAGAAGGTATCTGTTTGCTTTGGTTCTTGATGATAATGACATTTGCATGTTAAGGGCCTTCCTTTGGCAGGTGATATTCTAATGTCAAACTTACAGAGAAATCTTTGTTAGTGCTATCAAATATCTTCTTTCTCAAGTCTATTCAAGTTTTAGAGGGGCATTTTTAAGAAGGAAAAATGCTGTTGAAATGCTCATTTAATGCTAATACAGGAGATTGGCTAGCAGACTAAAAGGACACATTTGGTTTTTTTTGTGGACTCTCAAGGTAGTTATAACTGTTTCAATTAGTTGGAGAATTCAGAGATTTAAGCAGACCTAACTAGAAACACAGCCCACCTTTTAAAAAAATATGATATACAAGAGCTTTAAAATAAAGGGAATGCAGAGTCTTGTAATATTTACCCAGAATGTTCTTATTTAAAAATAGTTTACTTTTGTTCTTTAAACTTTTTTGTAACTCCAAATTATGTGTCAGTCTTTCTTTTTATGACCCTGTAATCTCTGACACTATCATATAAAAAAAATACCATTCTAAAAGTTAAAATGGTGTAATCCTTGAAGAGGGAGAATCGCAGTAAGAAGCCAGAAAATCACTCAGCAAGCCTGCTAATTATTCTTAATAGGCAAGATGAACACATTCAGCAACAAATGACTGCATCAGAGAAATGTCATTGAAAATTGACTTGGAATAATGCTTTGGGTCTGAGCATCCATTTTTATATTATTGTCATTATCCTACTTATTATTTTTGCTCTTATTAGTGTTATTCACAGGGGATGCCAAAGGCTTCTATTTTTGTGAAATTTTACATATGGGAGAGGGAGGATTTGATATTTGTTTTCCTTCCAAGTCACAAAGTTGCGTATTCACATCCCATCAGTCATTGATGATTTTGCTGTCAATTTGTGTGAGCAGTAATTTCATTTGCTATTGGGTTGTCAAAACATGTGCTCTCTAAATACAAAATCAATATCGATTGATATATGAACAAAAAAAACTACCCTTTGCCATTTGTATTAACTATTTCAGGTTTTAAGCCCTTTTGGTTCATATCATATTTTACTCCAAATATTCCTGAGCAATGCTGTCTGACATACTGTAAATATATTTCACTTATTCTACCTCTGTTCATAGATGGTACCTAAGTCATCTGAATCTTTTAAACTACAATGCAAACAAATGAAACTGCACTTCAGAAAAACATTATTTGCAATCTTTAATAAGAAAAATAAGGAATTTGTATGGGTATATTTTGGAGAGCTTTATTGTTTGAGATAAAATATTCAAAGAAAGAAACTATGACAAAAGGAAACTTAGGAATCAACCTAAACATAAGATTTATATCTTTTAAATGTGAATAAATGTTGTTCTGATTGCGAAGATTCTATGCTACACAGTGCGCTTAAAAAAAAAGTTGGATGAACTTTCACATTCATAGAACATATGAATATTTGTTTTAAAAATATTTAACTCATTCCTTAAGGTCATCTGCTATCTATGTTATTTACTCTCCTGTGATTATATACATTTTTGCCCATGAAATTGAGAAAGAAAGGATAAGTTTAGGGTGCAATTAAATTATTCCATAATACAAGTGTAGCTATTAAATATAGCTATGGGATTTTGTATGGAATTTTGACTAATCTAAAAAAAAGTCTAGGTTGAAGCTGTGTGTGCTGAGAATATGTTTTTTTGCAGTAATGCAAGTTACTTATAGTTCAGTAACAGTGAGGTTTCTGTTCGGTAACAGTGGGTTGTTTATATGTGTGTAACCTGGTACAGGGCTGAATTCCTAAGCAACTTATACCTAAATCAATATTATTGAAATTAAAATTATTGAAAGGTGTTACAAGAACTAAATTTGAGAGCTTTATTAGCCTGTATTCAATTAACAGATGTGTGTGTGTGTATGTTCAGTTACAATATTTAACTGATGTTTTAAAGATTTATATATACATACATACCTACATACATAGATGCTATCAAGGCAAGGAGAGAGAACTGAGTGCTGGTCTTATATTTTGTGATACAACACCCATAATCTCTCACCATGGAGCACCTGGGAACAGTAATCCAAAATATCTGAGGGCACCAGGTTAGCTACTGTCACACTAGATTATCAAGAAAGATTTTTATGCATATCTATTTAGAATAGGAATGGTGCAGCATATTTGAACTTCATTTAAAACCTGTTGCTCCACAATAATCCTGATTCCTATGTCTGATTCTAGCTTTTTAATTTTTGTTAAGGTAATTATATTAGTGACAGGATAAATAAGCATTTGAGTAACCTAAGTAAAAGGAAGATGATTAAGGAATTTCTGAATGGCACTCATTCATGTTGGAGGTTTATCAATCTATTCCAGGGGTGTCAAACTCAATTTCATTGAGGGCCGCATCAGCATTGTGGTTGCCATTGGGGGCGGGGTGGGTGTGGCTGGCATGGGTGTGGCTTACTGGGTGGGTGTGGCCAGCTCCATGTCACTCACGACGGGCACCTGTGTGGGCTTGGGCAGGAATGAGGCACATACGAGGGTGGGGAAGGGTGGGTGGGACAGGGGGCGAGCGCCAGGGCATGGTCCACTGGAGGAGCCTCACTGAGCCTCAGGCTGTGCACGGGGGCCCTGGACAGTGGCATGGACTGCCCAGAGCCCTGGGCAGTGGAGGTCAAGTGCCCAGCCCGGCCTTGAGCTCCCACGGCACCAGGACCCCACAGCCCTGCCTAGCCTAACCGCACTTCCCTGAGGAGGTGCCCAGCTGCACTTATCTCCTCCTCAATGCTGCTGCTGCTGTGCTCACTCTCCTTGGCAAGGTTGCTCATGGTGGGTGCAGGAGGACAAAGTGCATGGGTCAGAGGGAGTTCCACTCCCTCTCCATGCGAGGAAACCTGGCTTTGTAACCAAAGCATCCTCAGCAATAGGATGGGAGACCACCAGGGGAAGGCAAAAGGGCAACAGGGCTGCTGGTGGCCAAGTGCTAAAGCAGGACTTCCCTCAGACCCTCCCTCTTATTCCAATCTCCTTCCTTCCTTCCTTCCTTCCTTCCTTCCTTCCTTCCTTCCTTCCTTCCTTCCTTCCTTCCTTCCTTCCTCCCTCCCTCCCTCCCTCCCTCCCTCCCTCCCTCCCTCCCTCCCTCCCTCTAGTAGTGCTAGTGATGCTTTACAATAGCTGTCTTTGAGAGTTTTCTTGTAAACCATCCTGGATTTCTCAGAAAGTTTTAATTTCAAATTAGATGTTGATTTAATAAATTAGGCAGAAGAAACAAATGTTTAAATACATCTAAATACCACAGACCTACTGCCTCCTAGGCGCATACTGCAGAGAAAATAAGACATTGCACTTCTAGCCAGCATAGCCACAGGATGATGGGAACTGTGGTTCATAACACCCAAAATATATTAGTTTGGGTAAGGCTGGATTAAATTATAAAAGAGCAGATGAAGGGAAGTATTTTTGTCTCCGACAAAATAATTTGGGGGGGGGGAATTGACTTGGCCTTTTAATTTCAACTCACACCAATTCCTAACTTCCCATTCAATCCAAAGAGTTTTATTATTGCCTGGATTTTGCTCTCTAGTCGCCTGCACACCACCTTCCCGTGTATGTGTGCATGTGTATGAGAGACAGAGAGAGAGATCCCCTTTTTGTAAGTTTGCTTACTCTGCAACTCCCTGCTGCCTCAATCTCTCTCTCACACTCACACACAAACACCACACATACACAGGTTAATAAAAAAGAGGAGGGGGTAGAAAGGTGGAAGCTCTCATTTTTTGTAAAACCTTGGCTTCCTCCTCCCCTCCTGGCTCTCTCTCTGTGTCTCTGTCTCTCTTACACACACACACACACACACACACACACACACACACACACACACACTTCCTGTTTTCTCCTCCTTGTCCTTTTCCTCAGCTGCACCTGAACGGAGTGGGAGGAAGTTAAAAAAAGGGGGTGGGAGAATGGGGAAAGCTCTCCTTTTTTGTAACACCTCGGCTTCCTCTACCTCCTCCTCTTCCACTCCTGACTGGGCCTGATGGGGTTAAGCTGGGAGGGAGGGACAGGCTAAAGCAAATGAGTTGCTGCTGCTGCACGCCACCAGCCCGAGTGCTCTCGCTGTTTCGGCT